GGGGGGTTTAGATACTCCAGATGTGTTGAAGTCCTGCATGAGCTGCTGACCCCCCCACCATATAAAACTCTGATATTAAGTCACCATTTGAACAACATCAGTGTTTATTTCCATTGGCTATAAAATGGATATGTTCTCATTAATTTCCCATAAAAGGTTGTTTATCATTTCCCCACCTGCTGTGTGCTGGGGGTGAATAAATAAAATGCAGGAAAAGTCTAACATTTAGTACTTTGTTGACTCCATGGCTGAAAAACACCAGAATAATCAGAAAAGCTTGGAAGATTAACAACATTTCAATAGTGGAAAAGTCGGCTGCTGAGTGCTGAAAACTAAATGCAGTCATTTGTTGAACATGAAGGCAGATGATGAATGATGGCTGCAGAAAGGAGGACGGAGGGGGGGACCTGGAAGGTCATGCAGCTACCTCTCCTTCCTCACCTGGCCCTGCCGTTTTTACTCACTGTAAAGGCCGATTTTTTTTTTCTCCTAAAAAGTTCAAATAAAAATGATTTAACAATTGCGGCATCAGATTTCTCATCTCAACTATTCCAAGAAAATTAAAAACAATCCACTGGACTTTGTTTCCAAGTTTGGAGACGTTTCTCTTCCATCCAGGAAGCTTTTTAAATTCAAAATGTCAGAAATAGTGCTGAGTTCCAGGATTTATAGAGTGGACCAAAAACAAAGCCTTGTTTTGTTTTAGAAAACATGCAGATTGAAACGGGTCCACCCCTTTAGAATGGGGGTCGTCTGTTTCAATTTGCATGTCTTAAAAAAAAAAAAAAAAAAAAAAAAAACTGGCTTTTTTGGGCTACTGTATAAAACCTGGAACTCAACGCTATTTCTGACATTTTGAACTGGAAAATCTTCCTGGATGGGAAAAAAATGTCTTCAAACTTGGAAACAAAGTCCAGTGGATTGTTTTTTTTTTTAACTTTTTTTGGAATGACTGTGACCTGGATGACTGAGAATCTTCACCAGCTCATTTAAACTAATGTCTGTCTTATGTGAGCTGATTATTCTTGGTGCGTACAGTGAGGTCAGGTGTTGATTGTTCCTCTAGTGGACAGGAGGGGGGAGCCTTGGTGCGGCATCAAACCATCAATCTGCTATGAACGCCTGGACATTTCATTTTTTATTTAATTACCACCTGAGATGACTGGTATATGATCCATGATCGATCTGTGATGGAAAGAATAACTTTATTAATGTAACTTCTGCAGACAACATTTCAACACATCTGGAATATTTGGTTAATGTGCAATTCCAGAAGACCCCCTTCTTTTAATTAAACTCTTCATAACTTGCAGGGACATATCTAAACAAACTGTAAACAGAGAGGGCCTTTCTGCCAGGACCCAAACAGGTCCAGCCATCCACGTCTTCCCAGATTTCATGTAGTTGGTCTTTTTTTCTGTGGCTGTTTCCCAATAAAATTATAAAACGACTAAAAATAATATAACTAATAATAAAACTGAAAAACTTAAAGTACAGCCAGGATGAGAGGAGGCCTCATTAACCAACGTGGACTTCCTGCAGTTTTCCATAAATACTCTTCCTCAGTCGTCCAGATTAAGCTTATTTTGGGAATCAAGCTCCCAGACTGTGGAGAGAATCCGTGGTTTCTGCAGTCAGGAGTCCACTGGGCCCTGAAGATGATGGTCCATCCCAAACCAGCCCCTAAAGGCTGATTTATACTTCGAAACCAGGTCGTCTGCGTATGTGTCACAGTGAACGCAGATAAGCCCCGCCCCTTCCGCAGACACTCTGCTGCACCTCTCCAAAATTGTAGGTGAGCACAGACAGGAGGCCTCTATGCGTATTTCCTGTTTAGTTCCTTACCGGCTGGTTTTGTTTATATGACTGCGATTGTGGAAAACGACTGGTGAAGATGGAGCAGCTAGAAGAGCGAGGTCCACGAGAACGTTTTTCCACCTGGATCCCCGCTCTTTTTGGCCCTCATGTCTCTCCGTTGCCGCACAAACCTGCCCCCACTTCCTCACCACCACAGCCGTATCCAGAGCTAGCTCCCGATTGGCCCTCTGGCATTGTGGCGTGGAATAACAGCACAGACCACGCTTCAATATGCTTACATAAATCAAAAATATCTGCGACACAGTGCTGCAAGAGGATAACCAGCCCTTAAGCCTGCATAAGTTCAGGCTGAACTGTGATGCTGAGGGGGCGGGGCTTAGGGGGCGGTTTGGGATTGGACCATGCATTAACCTGCTTCCAGAGGAAGAGGAGCTCTCGCTGACGGCTGAAGGTCCATAAAGGTTCCTCTACACCAGAGCTCTTCAGCCCTTTGTCATTAAAGTTGGTGGGGACGCTCTGCAGGGCGGGTGCTGCAGCTACAAGACCCGACGGCTTCTGATAGGTTTAGACATTGTTTTTTTAAAACTTAGCTCAAAAATAAATGGCAGATATGTCTATTTAATGCTTATTGTTGAGAATGCAAGTTTTTTTTAATTTTTTTAACAAAAGTTTAAAAAAAAGACAGACCGATGCGTTTTAGTGGCTCATTTATTAAGTGATTTAAATCATCCGCAACATTAAAAACATGGACATATACTAAAACTGATAGTTACAGATGATACTGATGGTAACTCAAACATATTAGACATCCCTGCATATATATAACTGCAAATAGGAAAACTAAAAAATATGAAAACCTGAAAGGTACTAAAACTAACAGGCAGTTATTTCTGAGTCTTGCTGATTTACAAAAGTTTAAGATTGCACGTATATTTTCCCACAAAATATTGTGGTGAAACTGTGGTGTGGACTGTCCCCACCAGGCCGACGATGG